AAAACCCTCCCCCGTTTATTTGTTACGTCACAAAAATATATATTTAAATTAATGTAAAAAATGGCGGTTACTAAAATCAAGAAGAAGAAGAAGAACAAAAAAAAAAAAAGTTACGTAAATAATGCATAGAAAAAAAAAAGGCGGATCGGCGGCTGGAGGTTAATGGCGGAAAATCTGAAGGAGGGGAGGGGTGGGGAGTATATAAAACGAAAACGTTTGTGTTTTTAAATGAAAACTGGATAAGAATCACAAAAAACCTTCAACAACGACGACGACAAAAAGGAAAAACCTTTTTTTTGCTAAATCTTTTGTTCTTTCGAGTGAAATTAAATTTTAAAGTAGATTTTAGCTTTTGTTTCTACGTCGAGATTGTGTTTGTTATAAAAAAAAAAAGGTAATTTTTTCCTTTGACAAAAAGGAAGATGTTGTTGTTGATGATGATACACTGTCGCGCACGATATAACAATTCGTCGTTTTATTTTTTTATTAAATAAAAAAAAATTATTTATCTACGACATTAAAAAAATTTTTTTAACCTCCGCCATTTGTTAACCCGCAAAAATAATAATAATAATAATAATAAAATTGTAACTGTTTGCACCGCTGTGGTTTCCCCTTCCCCTCTCTCTCTTTCTCTCTCAATTAATAGTTTTTGTAGAAAAAAAAAAAATTTCGTGTCGGAAAAGTTAACGAACCAGTAATTTTCCAACAAAGGTTTCATGGCGGTTTTTCCAAAACAAAATAAATTTTACTTACACATTTTCTTAACGAAAAAAAAAAAAAACTTTATACCGAAATTACTCATGTTTCCAAAAAAATTTTTTTTTTTATTAACAAGGAAAACCTTCCGAAAAGTTTTTATTTAAACTCCCCTCCCCCTTCCTTCCCTTCCTCCTACCCTTCACTTCTTCCATGAAAATTCTTTCGTTTTCCCGGAGTCAAATTCCTTCCTTTCTTTTTTTGTAAATTCCCATCTTTGTTCTCTCCCGATAATTATTATCATTAATAATACAGTTTTTGATAAAGAAAATACGGTCAATTATACGGGTGTATATTGTTCCCGTGGGAATTTAAACATCCCGATGGATTACATTTAAAAAAAAAAAACAGGAAAATTTTCAAAGGAAATACGTTGGCGTAATCTTTTCGTCGTCGTGTAAGTAGTCGAAAAAAACCTGAGAAATGGCCGCCATTTTTTTTTCTTCCCAGGGTTTAAAAACCCCTCTGCCCCCCCTCACGTAATGCGATGGTAATCGTTACGTTTGAAACAACATAAGTAGACGATTTATTAATGACGTCATGAAAATTTAAAAACCTTTTTATAAATTTTAATTCGTGAGTTTATAAATAAATAAATATTAATAAATGTTTGTTCGTTTGTTTGTTTGTTTGTTTTTTCTCCCTGATTTATCGATTGATAATCTTTTAACGGTTTTTTTTGTTTTGTTTCCGGTTCGATAAATATTTTTTTTAACAACAACCGGAAATCATTTCGAACGGTTCTGTTTCGTGTTTATTATTCGAGGGATAAAATTTTGGTTGTTGTTTTTGTTTGTTTGTTTGTTTGTCGTTTTCCTTACCCTGGTGATGAATTATCATCATCAGATAAATCCTGTCGTAATGTTTTGTCGTCGATTCGTACGATTAAAACGTCACCACTTTGTATTTCCGTCGTTGCTTCCCATATTAATGACGTGCCGTATGGACAATCAACATCTTCCGGATCGCAATCCGTCGGTACCTTTAAAAAAATGAGAAATTTTAAATGAATTATCTATTATTTATAATTACAATGTTAAATTTGTTTTTCTTACAATAAAAAAAAAGGGGAAAATTTTTTTTTTTAATTATCGCAATAATTCGTACATTTTTTATTTTATTTTTAACGTTTTAAAACCGGAAATGACTTTCTTTTTTTTTCTTTTACAAAATGGTAACGATCAAAAGGAAAATAATCTTTCGTAAAAGGAAAAAAGAACCTTTGTGAAAAAAATATATATTTTCGAGGTTTTAACGATTTATCGTGAAAAATGTCTTATTTTAAATTTTTAACCGCTTTTTCATAATTCTCTCTCTCTCTCTCTCTCTCTCTCTCTCTCTTTTCATTCATTCATTCACTTTTTTCATTCCTTTTTTCTTTTATTCGATTTTTTAATAAAAGGAAAAATGAAAATATGGAAGGAAGGGGAGGGAAAAAATCGAATAAATTTTTTTTTTTTTTAACACTCGTCTTCATCTTTTTTTTTTCTTCTTCCACTTCAAATTTTTTTTTTTTAACTTTTACACATCGAATTTTCTAGAAAGAAAAAAAAACGAAAATTTTTTTTTTATTTAAATAAGTAAATAAATAAATATGAACGACGTAATAAAATTTTATTAAAAAAAAAAAAAATTTCCACGCAAAAATCCGCCATTTTGAAAAAAAAAACAAAAATTTTCTTCACGATTTACAAGTTCCAAAAAACGCGTGAAAATAAATAACAATGATGATGATGATGATGTTATTTTGTTATTTATAAACGAATTTAAGTTTTTTTTCGGCTTGGGAGAAGGGGAGAAAGAGGGGAAGGGAGGGGATGGGAAATTAAATAAAATTTTTAAAAAAGTTTTTCCTTTTTTTTCTTTTCTCCCCCGAAAAGTTGGAAAACAAAATCGACTTTTTCTTTTTCGACGCCGACGAAATTTTATAAATTTTTTTTTTTCCTAAAGGCACGACTTTTCTTTTCTTTTTTATCAATTCCTTCTAAAATCCAAAATTTTATTTTAAACATTTTCTTTCCCCCCCCCCCATAAAATTTTTCTCGCCCCGAATTAATCCGATTACAATTATAAGTTTTAAAATTAATTCATTGTCGTTCGGTAATATTATTATTATTATTATTATCATTATTATTATTATAAATTTTGAATTGAACGGATCGAAAAATTAAAAAATTTTTTTTTTCCTTTTTGTTCGAGTCGTGGTTTTAAATGATTTTTATGACGTCATTTCTATGATTTCTTCATTATGGTTTCCAACAAAAAAAAAACATGGAGTGTTTCTGTACGAGTTCCAGCGTCTTCTTCAAATTTCCTTTCATTGGCATGCCGCTTCCATTTGGCGTAATACTCTTCTCCCATTTTTCCTTACGAACTTGCAGCTTATGAATTTAACTTATAAACACTTTCAAATTTTCACGTACTTGAATTTTCCAGGATTTATCACAACTTCCGATTCTTAATCTAATAAATAAATTCTTGCATATCTTTGATTTTATTTATTCAAAAGAATTCGGGCCGACCGCCATCATCGCCACCAACCACAACCTGTACGATTCCTTCAATTAAATTCCAGTAAATCCTTTTGGAATTCCATTCGAAATTAATTGCACAATTATTATTATTATTATTAAGAAAATTAAAATCGTGTTTTTACCGAGAATACAACGACCGTTAAAAAAAAAAAAAAAACCTTCGAGTAATTAATTCCAGATTTTCTACGGTTTTTGACATACGATTAATAATAATAATAATAATAATAAATTTAAATAGAAAAAAATTAAACGGAGTGTTAAAAAACGTTTCCAGACTCAAATTTTTTTTCCTTTTTAAAAGGAAATTAAAAGGAAAAAAAAAAAATTTTTACCATTGAAACGATTTTTTTAATAATTTAAAAAAATCTTTACTCGTCGTCCGCTATCGGTTTTTTTTTTATTAATAATAATAGTAATTTGATGAAAAAAATATGAAAGAGTAAGAGAGAGAGAGAGAGAGAGAGAAACCATTTTTACCCCCCCCCCCAAAAAAAATTTTTAATTCATTCATTAATAATAATAATAATAGGAAGAAATAATGTGAAACCTCAAAAGAAAAAAACCTCAAAAAATTAAAAATGAATTAATAACTAATAAAGTAGAAGGAAAGAGAGAAAGAGAGAGAGAGAGTGAGTGAGCGAGAGAGAGAAAGAAAGGGGGAACGTTAGAAAATATTTTAAAATTTTCAAAACCGAAAGTTAAGTTCAAATTTTAAATTCTTTTCTTTTTCGTAAGTGATGGAAAAAAAATTTTTTTCGTTTTGGTCGTCGTCGTCGTCGTAAAATAAAAATAATTTTTATAAAAAAAAAAAATGGAGGACGAAAAAAAAAAGAAAATCTGGAGAACAATATGTAAAAAAAAAAAAAGAAATTGAATCTTAAAAAAAAAAAAAGAAAAGTTTTTCTTTCTTTTTTTTTTTGGGAGAAAAAAATTGTATTTCAATTTCCTTTCACTTTTGACATAAACAATCATTTTTCTTTTCTTTTTCTTTTTTTTTCCTTCATTTTCTTCTTCTTCTCCAGTTTTTCCAGTTTTTTTTTTTTATATTCATCTTCTTCTTTTCAAAAGAAAAAAAGAAGAAGAAAAAAAAAGTTTTAGTTAAACGAGTTTAACGTAACAAAAAAAAGAAAAAAATTTAATTTAATTTGATTTTCGCGCGCAAATTCAAAAAATAAAAAAAATTTTAAATTAAATTAAATTCTTTTTTTCTCATCTCAAGTCAAAATCAAATTTCTTTTTTTTTTTTTTTTTTTTTAATTTAAATAAAAAATAAAATAAAATTAACAACTATGCGAAACAAACAAAAAAAAACAAACGACAAACTTGATTTAAAAAAAAAAAAAAAAAATTTATCGTGGAATTAGAATGAAGGGAGGAGGGAGAAAAAAAATTATTTTAAAAAAGAAATTCATTCCGAATGGAAAAACACCGAAAAAAATCATCATCATCATCATCATCATCATTACATCAACGAATGTGAAAATTCGTATCAA